ATTAAGTGTTAACGAGCAGTTGGACAGGTGTACCTAATAAAGTGGCCGGTGAGTGTATATACCTATATATATATATATATATATATAGGTATATATTGTGATTTAACTGCTGGAGGTGATTGTTACACATAAATATGAATCTGACTGATGGGCACGGGAAAAGGGTTGTCTGATGATTATTTGACTTGGATGTCCAATAAAACTCTTTTTTAAAGAAAAGTTTAATAAATATTTAAGATATTTGGTCTCTTAAAAATCTTTTTTTTTTTTTTTTTGAAAATATTTTTTATTGTTTCAAAGCTGGCTTTTGGCATGTCATGAATGTGTTAAGAAGTTGTGTTTGCTGTGGTAACTTTGGATATTTAGTAAAAGCAGTATTTGTAAAATTTTCAACTTTTATGGTTTTATTTTGATGTGTAGATGTATGTGCACTTTTCAGAGAGCCCAAGGTTGCAGTTTAGTCAGGGTTTTTTTTATTGTCAGTGCACATTTAATACAGCACTGGATGTGCATTAACAACACTATTGTTAAGCAGATATGTTATATAGCCTGCATAATATAAGACAATAAAAATGAACAGTCAGCCCATATCACATTGACAATTATGCAACAAGGTTATTGTGTTGTAGGTTAGTTAATCTTTAACTTTCAATTGTTCTGTTTTAACTATGTCTTTGAAGTTTATGAACTCTTAGGGCTAATGGTAAATTCTTTTAATACACAATAGACACATCTAAGGGCTTCAGAATACTTAATAAGGGGACATTCTTTTAAATCCTTAATTTAAAAAGATACATAAAGGCAATTAACCAAATGGTGGTACTTTTGCTTTTGTTTCATTCAGATCTCTCATTTTTGAGCTTATCGTTGCACTGCATCACATTACACTAGCAGGCTGGCCTCTTACTGGAAAGCATAAGATGATGTCTCACATTTAAACTACTTATCTCCATAAAATTATTGTTTTTGTTGGATTACTAGGACTTGTCCTGTCAGGCAATGTGGAAAGAGGTCACTGATCTCATCTCAGGGTGCGGATTTCATTATCAAGTCCTCCATTCATGGTCAAAGTGTTAAGGGAACACGTCAAAACCTTTGGAGAAATGGAAAATCCTAAAATGTGCAGAAGTCTGCAGAAAGTTGTTCTGTAAATGATTTACAGTTGTCAGCTGGGACCAATGTATTTCTGAGAAAAACATTTATGAGTAATAAACCTTTTACTGTAAAACAGTGAGGTAGTCACCATGCATGGGTAATTGTTTAACTTAAGTAAAATAAAAATACACCTAAATAAAATATTCCCTAGGGAAAGCAGGGTGGACTTGGTAGTAAAGAAACAAATGAATGTTTGCTATGAGCACACTTGGTGTGAGAGATTGCTTTCAAGTCATTAAGTCGATGCAATCAGCTGGTTTCCCTTAGATAGAAAACTTTTAAACTATCTGACTGTATGATTTGGT